TTGTTTCTTCCAGTGGTAGAAACTCTTTTTTATGTGACATTATGGTAAAAAATGAATACTTGGAGATCTTTCAGCAAATCAGTCAGTGTGGTTCCATCAGGGAACTTATATATGTATATATATTTGATCACAAACATAACACACTTTTTATCATTCGGCTCACCTCGATAACAACCCAACCAGCACTCATGCAAAATGAACATCATTAAATTTCAGGAATTTCAAGAAGGTTCCAAAAAGTTCTTGAAGGTTCCATAAAGTCCTAGAATGATCCAGAAAATCATAGTACAACTATACTTATATACTGTTTTAGAAATTTTGTGCTGGTGGATGACATTGTTTTTTAAAAAAACTGAACTTAATACTTCTTTGTTATTTTTAACAAAAGTTTATTGAATTATGATTCAAGAAATCAATTATTTTACAAAAAGTCAGAACCCTAATATATATATATATGTGTGTGTGTGTGTGTGTGTAAAAAATATATAGAAAATAGGAAAGAATTCGTTAGGTAAATAATCCAAAGTTCTTTAGTATTTTTGTTATTATTTTTTAAAAATAGTGCTCAATACAAAAGTAGAGCATAAATATAATTATTTATTTAAAATATGATTCCAACACTACATAAGAGTTCTCATGTTTCAAAACCAAGAGCCGAAAACTTCAATATAATTATTTGAATTAAAAGTACTAAGTCTGTTCCATCTTCAAGCGAAAAAAATTCACTTGAAGATGGAACAGAGCTTAGTACTTTAATTTGAAACATGAGAACTTTTATGTAGCATTGGAATCATATTTTAAAATAAATAATTATATATATATATATATATATATATATATATATATATATGAGAAATTTTACAAATGGAAAACATTTTGTTAAAAGTAGATTTGCCTTTCAAGGCTTCATCAGATCCAAAAACAAAAGAATGAAATGTGTATTTGTGTGTATGCTTAAATAATGAATCATAGGCACTTTTTCCCTAACTTGGCTTTTCTCATGATTAAAGAGGAAAGAAAATGAGTGACTTTTAAAAAAATGCCACTAATATTTATTCTAGTATCTTTTTTTATAATTCTTAGTTTATGTCAAAAAGTTGTTAATATATTTTCCCAGCTTTTTTGTATCAAATTAAGGGCAAATCATCTAATTTTTAAAAAGGCTTGAAACCAAGAAAATCACATAGCATTTTCTGAAATTAATCCAAGGTAAATTCTCATACAATACTTCAGAATGAGTTGAAAGTAACTATGATTAATTATTTAAGCATACATACAAATACACACATACACACACACACACACTTTGTTTTCATTTTTAGATCTGATGAAACCTTGAAAAGCAAAACACGTGTTCAAATCTAATTTCAATAAAACATTTTCCATTTGTCAAATTTCTTAAAAACTTTGTTGGGATTCTATATCCTATTTTAAAAACACACACACACACACACACACACACACACACACACACATATCTTTATTCAAGCATGTTTGGTTTAATAATCTGGACATAGAATGTCAATTTATTTTAATCCCCTCAAGTTTACTGTTCAATTTCTTAATGTTTTTATTAACCTCATTAAGGAAGATATCATAGATTTTTCTATTTCTTTTATTTTCCTAAGTACTTTCAATATCTAAGATATATAAATTTTCACTAAATATTATAGACTGATATAAAGTCAAAATGTCATAACCCTTATATATATATATATATATATATATGTTGTTATGGGTAAATTGTCACAATTTTATATTTTTAATTTTGTGCATGTGTGTTTGTTCTTGATTTTGTCAACTGCACAGTATAGGAGAATCAGTTGAGCATCATCTGTGAGAAAAAGAGCACCATGAAGCTATTCACTACACCATTACTACTGTAATACTTAGCATATGAACATTTCAGAGTGTTTGGGTGTCAATCTGAGGATAGTGCAGAAAATTCAGGAAGAGTTGGATGGTGATTACAAAGGTACAACTCAGAAAACTCACTGATTCTGATGAGAAAATAATTTCTGAATTTGTTGGTGAGGGACTCAGACTGAACACAGTCCTACATCAAGTGCCTTGAGAAGGTATTGCTGCCCTGGGGCAAGAGGATGGCTGCTGGAAAACCCTGTGTCTGGCAACAGGACTCTGCCCCATGCCTCACTAACAGGAGAAACTAATCATGGCTGTCAGACAATTTCTGTGACCACATTAAAGTACATCTGGCCACCTAACTCCCCAGACTGCAGCCCACTTGATTATTTTGTGTGGGTACTGTTGAGCAAGAGACCAACAAAACCACTTGTAACAGCAAAGATGAACTGAAAGCAAGGATTATGGCAGCATTCATCAACTTAAACAAGGAGACCATCCAGAAGTGTTGCAAGAGATTCTGAACTCATCTGGAGGCTGTGATTGAAGCCAATGGCAATTTTATTGAATAAATTTACTATTTAGTATTTTAAGATATTTTTGTGTAATTTTGGTAAATATATCTGTTAAAATGAGATGTCAGTGTTATTTTCATTTTTGTGCAATTTAGATGACAATTTATCTATTTCACACCTATATATATATATATATATATATATATATATATATATATATAGTTTCACTGCACATTATAAACTGATATAAACAGTGAACATCTTGTAATTTTTTTAAATCTTGTGGATTATAAAGATTTAAAATACTAGAAAATCTATCAAATTTGAATAGTATTTTGTTACTTGAACAGAGTGTCTGTCTAGTAAATATCCAACAATTTTAAATATATCTAGAACTAATCGGACAACCTTGATGTAACTTAGTAACCAACCAGAAGTGACCTTACTATGCTTGGTGGAAAATATACTCTCCCATGGGGCTATTCTATCAGCAGACATATGTCAGAGAATATGCTTGTGTTGTGTGTTACCTTCACATTTTCACTGATATCTTGTGCAAAGCTTTTGGTAAAACATTGCATCATTCATATCCATGAGTTTTCCTCAAATCAAAATTTTACTTCCTGCAACTTCTGACTTTTCTCACTGCTGAAAGGAAGATTACAGATTGTATGCAAGGTTTAGGATTAAGTAAAAAAAATGGCCAAGCAGATGATGGTGACTCCAAAACAGAATTTTGTAGACTGTTTTGAAAATTGGAAGAGATGCTGGGATAAGTCTGTACAATCCTAAGGAGAATACATTGAAAGAAACTAAGGTGCCATTTAGATACATCGGTTATTTTGTTAATATTAAAATGGCTGTATTCTTTCCTGATGGGTCTCATTCAAGTATATGAGGGTATATCAGTCAGTCAATTATGTGCCATGCGTGACACATGCTTAGGCGATCATGTATCTTTTGATACATGACTGACAAGGCAAATTTTTTTTCTGCAGTAGGTTGCCATTTTTTTCTGCAGTAGACCAGTTGACATCCAAGACTATAGAACCTGGTCTATCCTACTATTTACCCATAGATGGGGGGAGAAGAAGAGTATTCATACCTTTCCCAAGATATTAGCATGTAAGTGAATGTAATGGATTTGACTGGAATTGAACTTGGCTCTCTAATTCCTCAATCCAAGCCACTATCCATTACTCCAGCCTATATATAAAAATAAATATATATGTATATATCTACGTCTAAGAACAATCTCTTCTGTGATTGTGTCCAAGTTTTGTACAAAATTAAAATATTTGGCTGTTGCATGATGACATGAATACTTATTTTCTATGTACAGTTAAGTTTGGTACAAGGCTATAGAAGTGGAGCACCAAGTAAGGCTTGTTGTATATAGCAATTATCATCCACATATTTATTCTCACATTTGAGAACAGCATACATGTTTATTGTAAATAGAACAATCTATCATCGATAAATACAAGCTGAAAGACTTTTTTTAATACTAAATTTCAATCAATTATACGCTTTTGAGAGCCACTCAAAGTAGAGGGTTATACTCAAAATATTAAGGCAGAAAGTGTAATATGAATGAAGAGAAGGTAATCAAAAATGATTATGATGTAAAATTTAACTCGAATTTTCTACTTTTTCAAAGAAACTGGAAGATTTCCTAAAGTGAAGCTTAAAAAATACCAAACTTAAGTAATGAAAGATTGAATTCTAGAATCATACTAGCTTTTATGGCATTTATTCTCCTACCAGAGAAAAGAACAATTGACCCTTAACTTGAAGAGGTCAAGAGTGAAAGGTTCTGGGAAGCAGCCAAACAGGAGTCAGTTCCTCAAAGTGGCAATTCTTGGGAAAAAGGTGTCCGAATGGAAGTTTCTTCTTACATTTGGAACATGGAAGATATGACAGTGATTCAATTCTGTGTAAGTAGCATGGTGTCCTAGTTGTAAAAGTCTGAGCAGGTGGAACTAAAGCACTGAAGTCTTCTGAACATTTGCCATAGAAATAGCAATAGGGCAGTGACAGTCTTGCAACAATGCACCCGAGGGAAAGGTGTTGCAGAGTGGAAAATAAGTCTTCTTCTGCAAGTCAGTGTAAACAATAATGAGAATATAAGAAAAGGTGATAGGTCATGAAGATAATGATGATAAGGCAGAAAGATAATGCTTGACCCTTGATCTGAAGAGGTGAAGATTGAAATGTTCAGGGACATACCCAAGTGATAGTTGTCAGAAAAACAGACTGAGTGAAGCTTTCTTCTTATATTTGGAACATGGTGGAAATGAGGATGATCCCATTGTGTGGGAAAATAAAACATTTGAGATTTGATCAGTTTCAGATCTTATCAGAAATCAGTACTTGAGTATGTAAATTATTACAAGTTCCAGTTTCTGTATGTGTTAAGTGACATTAACAATTAGATGATTTAATCAGTTCTAGTGCAAGACTTCCTTGTTTGCTTGTCACACTAACCATTATTATTTTGGTGAATGTAAGCCTCACTGAATGCTCCATGTTTGTGGTCTTGTATCATACTATGCTTAGTAAATACCTCTAAAAACAATTCTCATTTACTGTGTTCTTTAGTATGTGCTGACAAACAGAATCATGAATACCCTTTCTGGAAAAGTTTGCCTGGTGACAGGAGCCAGCCGTGGAATTGGCAAAGGTATTGCCATACAACTGGGTGAGGCTGGTGCCACAGTCTATGTAACTGGTAAGTCTTTCCCATTTAAAAATTTTAAATCACTTATTTTTTGAATTTGAGTGATATTTTTTTTTTTTTAATTAGTATCTAAAGTTGAAATTTCTGGGACACATATGGCAGCAGAAAGAACAATCAGAATCAGGGAAAAACAACTGAAATTCCTTGGACAAATAATGAAGGCTTGAAAATATGTTTTGACTTTAAGTAGCCCACAAAAGGTTGATAAACTGTAAAAAAAAAAAAAAAAACCCAGATCAACAAAACATCCTCATATCACATGAAAAGAAAAAAGAGTGATGTCATAAGTAAAACCTGCATTGAACATAAATAACACATTTTAATAAACATCAATTTCTAAGATAAGTTAACTTCAACATTTTTAATAATTTTCAACGGTAGAATCACTATTTTTTTCTCTTTTCTGTGGGTCACTTCTGCAGCTTTTGTTTCAAGTTTCCACACTCATATAATTGAATTGATTACAAAACTGCTGCTATTTTGTCTTCCATTTAACTTTCACAATTGTCTAGAATCAATGAATTCAGTATTTTTCTTCCCAATGGAATTCCTAATTAAAGAGTTTCTGTTATTTCCTGAAAAGAAAAAAATACCTTACATGAACTTTCTTTGTTTAACTAGTGGATTATAATTAATGGCTGACAGTAATTAAATAACAGCAGACACCTTAGTACAAATTCATAGCAGCATTAGTTGAACCTTTCAAACCAAGTTCATTTATAACAGTTTCAACTGATAGGAAATGACTATAGGATTGAATCTGAAGTTAAGTGTATACTATTTGAAATGTCTTTGAATTGGTTCATGTACTGACACTAAAATGTAGACCAAGCTTTTAAGCCATTTCATTGCTTGTGATGATTATAGGGCTTTTGGGATAAGTGTAGAATTTAATGCTATTATAACAATGGCTTCACCATTAACAAGACAAAATGAGTGGAAGTAACAAAAACAACAAAAGGAGATAATACATGTTTGAGATAAGTAAAAGAGTTTTTATTCTCCTGCTTTCTCATTTGATGATATCGTATATCAGTTGCAGGAGACTGAGAGTTAATTCAGGATATAACACAAGATAATAGTTGAGATAGACATGTAGAGTAAAATCAATATGCATTATTACATTGTAGTAGTTGAGAATTAATCTCTGCTGTTGTTTCTGGTTTTGTTGTTGGCCAAAGGTATTGCTGTTGATGATAGTGCCTTGGTGTTGTTTGCTGATGGCCTGGTTAAGCTTACCTGCTGTGGAGAAGTCTCTCACTAATGCCAGCTTGGTCAGATCTGCCCTTGGGGGTGAAATCAGGATTGGTTTTATAGAGTGACTCAGAAATGGTTGCTGTGAAAAACCAAGTGTTTTTTTTTTTTTTCTGATTAGTCAGAAAAGATGTTTTTGACCCTGGTACTTTTGGATAGTATTCAGAAAGTGGGTGAACTAGATGAAATTAGCGTTGAAGTGGTTGTTGAAGTAAGCAATTCTGTTTGAATTTAAAAACAAAAAATGGACACTATCGTTACCAAAAACCAAAATTATAACGGTTATGAAACTAAAGATCTAATGATTGCAGTGAAGCTGATATTATGTTTGTCTTCAAATGTTATTGGTTTAAAACAAAAAATATATCGTACTGTATAATATGCCAACTGTATTTATAAGTTTTGAGTCTGTAATGTTGGTAACTTTTAGTGTATAAAGTTGTCTCCCTTGCATTCAAGATGTCAGTTGGTAGCATTTTTGTTATTATAATGGAAAACTTTTCCTAAGAAGTCAAGAGGTAAAAAGACTCTTCTGTAAAAACAATCAGAGTAACATAATAATAATTGGAAAAAATATATTTAAAAAATTAACATATGAAATAGTAAGAACTTAACAAAATATATAATCATTTTTTACAATGTGGATCAACTAGTAATTATATTGATATTCACTGAGTAATGCCTTTTCCATCCAGGAAACTTGTGGCATTCATTGACCAAATAGTGTTACTGTTGGTTGAAATTTATAAAGTCTATTATTAAAATGTTTTTGGGAAATTAGACTTCTCAAGTCCACTAAATGTTATAGCTCTTTTTAATATTAATGGAAGTTTCCTTCCAAACCTTTTGTTTTTGGTAGCATGGAAATTTTTGTGCCATACAGTGATCGTTAATGATTAAGTATAGCTCAAAACTTCAACGTTAAGATAAAACAGTATTTAATTACAACCACAAATAAATACTTAATAAGAACAAAGAAGTAAAAGTCAACCAATGATAATTAACCATTTCAGTGAATACCTTGTTGGTAGCATGTCTCGGCTTAACATCCGGTAAATCCTAAAACAAAGCTCAAATCATTGCCGCACAATAAATCATACTAATTCAACTGGATAGTTCCACTGTATAGTCACTCAATAATCACTGCAGTCAGTAGCCTGACACCATTATTTATACATCTGGTGGAAAATATATATTCATAAGTCCAGAGTGTCATGTTCGAACCTCAGTGTTGGTAGTTACTCATTTTCTTCCTATATGACAGAAATCTTGTTTTTTTAACAGAAATGAAATGCAGATGGAGCAGTCAACCTCTACTGATAATGGTGGTGACCACCCCCATCAGTTAAAAAGACAATGTTTAGTGTGCTGTCTCTGCAGAAAGACAGCACATTGCTGCCCTGCCAAAACAGAGCTGGTGTAAACACCAGAATGTCTGGTGATAGTCAGGGTGGTGAGCTGGGCAGTGTTAGCTATGCAAATGATTCCTTTGCTAGACAACTGCTAAAATTTTTGGCTCCATAAAAGCAGGCACATTTTCTGATGAGGCAGTTTAACGTGTGGACTGTATAACAGGATTGCAGTGTGTTACCAAGGATTTCTGTTTGTGTTACCCAGCATCAGTTAAAATTCATTCAACCTTTTTTGTATTCCTGGTGTCTTGGCTGATTTCATCCTGTATGTGTGTTGTCCCCATGTGGAAGTCTTGTTTATGCCCTGACCATCATGATCCAGTGCTTGATTCCAGTGCTTTTGATTTTTACATACCCCACCCACCCAATAATAAGAAAATCTACTAACAACATCTAGATTATAGCATTATTTTCTCTCCTACTTACATTCACTACCCATATTTGATGTTGTTTTTGGATGTGATGTGGTTTTTGTTATTTGGTACTTTTCACTTGGGATTTTGTAGTGCCAGTCTATAGGGTCTGACAAAGGAATGTCTTCTTTAAAACCTAAACCTTGTTTAGACATTTCTGAGTGAGTTAGATTCAATGCATAACATTCATATGAAAGTCTAATCTGACAAGGCTATTTACAAAAGTGACTAGTCTTTTCAGGTCAATATTGAAACACTTAAAGAAAATTGAACTCCAGCTATTGCACTTTTTGATAAAAAAATAAAAAAATACATACAACCATTTTCACAATTCTTTTCAGAATTATAAAATGAATGCAAGAATATTTTGCCAATGATTATTTTAAAACAGAGGAACTACTTAAATAATGTGATCCACTTATAAAAAATAGAAAAAATTTGGAAGGAAATAATTTTTTTAGATTAGCATTTTTTAAACTTCCTGAGGCTGCAACATTTGTCAAAATAAAAATATATCGACTCTTTATGGATTTAGAAGGGTGATCCTGTTTATAGCATCAATATTGACTTTTACAGAGTTATTGAACTTATCTGTTTTGCAGGTGAAAATAGACTTTGTTTTATGTTTGTATACAAAAAAAAAATTATTTTAAATAAAGAACAAATGGATATGTACATTTTTAATTAAAAAAACAAAAATTTATATAGATTAATAAAATTATGTATCTGTTTACACTTCATTTGAGAAAGATAATTATTAACCTCAAATGTTTGTGTATGTGTTTTCAAAAAAAAATATGCAGATACAAATGATGTAAGCCGAGTATCAAACTTGACATTTGTAAATAACAATGAAGTGACTTAGCACAAGGCCAGTAACTCTGTAAATGTAAAGGATCAATTTTACACTATATTGATTTTATGAACAGCACCTCCCTTCTTAAGTGATACAAATATCAATATTTTTCAATTCTAACAAGTATCACAAGCTAAGAAAGGCATAAAGAATGCTAATCTACAAAAGTTTTCCCCTGTCTTTGTTACAAGGGAATCAGTCTATTTAAGTAGTGTCAAAGAAGGTACCAAGGATATTTGTTTGTTGTTACACTGAATGCTGGACAATTTCCTCAAAGATGAAGAAGAAACTTGGAGCAAAATAAATGTTGATCTACCAAGAAATATGAAAAATTCCATGAACAGTGCATATGGGACACACATTTTAAAGAGAATAGGAACTAAACAGAAACTTCTGCCAACAGTTGGAAAGAAACAGCTGAAGTTTCTAGGACACATAATGAGAAAAAAAGGCTTGGAGAATTTAACACACAAAGGTTTACCAGAAGAGAAAGCATGGAAAAGTAGCAACTGGTCTACTTGACCATTTTGAATAAATGAATGGCAAAACAAGTAGCACAAAAATAAAAAATTACTTACAAAAGACAGGAAGTTGTGGAGAGCCATGGTCACCTACATCATGAAGGGACATGTCACATCACATAGAGAGAGAGAGAGACTTAGGATATTTATGAAGCTTAGTTTAGTTTGACACAGATCCACTTTCATAGGTATCAAATAGAACTGATTGTTCTACCAATGGTCTGCAATGCTAGCATGCAAACCAACATTTAATGGCAAACATCCAATACAATTAAGCATGTATCTGTGTGAAATATCTAAACAAGTTGGATGCCTCTTTTCTATACAAGATGAAGCCACTTTCAGTCATTTTTATGCATCAAACACACATCTATTTAATAATTTGGATATATTAGTATTAGGATAAGCAGGACATTAAATGAAATTATCTTATCAGACCCAATGATCAGAAAGTTTTTGTTTTTGTGTATTAGAGTCGTTGGTGTCTGTTGGATTTTAAATCAGTCAATATATATATATATATATATATATTTATTTTTATTTTTTAATATTTTTTTTATTGTTCAAAATATATATATATATATATATATATATATATAAAAAGAAAGAACAGTAAGATATATAATCCGGTGTTCTTATAGATATTTTTATTTTTACAAAATAGTGCTCAATGTAAATTTACAGAGTATTAATATTATGAATTAATTGATTTAAAATATGTTTTTTTTTTTCGCTACACAGTTCTAACCATATTTCAAAAATGGAAGCTGAAAGCTCCGAATTTAATTTTGTAATTAAATTAAAGACATTAGTTCCATTTCATCCAATGGCACAATTATAGCTATTTATTAGGTTCTCTGTGATGGAAGATCTGTATGTATTGTATGACAAATCATATCTTTAAATATATATATATATATATATATATATATATATATGATTTGTCATAAATATATATATATATATATATATATATATATAAAAGATATGATTTGTCATAAATATATATATATATATATATATATATTATTTAAAGATATGATTTGTCATACAATACATACAGATCTTCCAAATCATATCTTTAAATATATATATATATATGATTTGTCATACAATACATACAGATCTTCCAAATCATATCTTTAAATATATATATATATATATATGATTTGTCATACAATGCATACAGATCTTCCAAATCATATCTTTAAATATATATATATATATATATATATATATATATATATGTCATACAATACATACAGATCTTCCATCGCAGAGAACCTAATAAATAGCTATAATTGTGCCACTAATTTCAGTGTAGACTCATTTACTGTTTTTAGCAAGTCCCACTTGAATTACCACTTGAAAATGTTGGAGGCCATTTATATTTTGTCTTTGAAGCCCTCTCTGTGTAAACAGTTTAGTTTTCAGGAGCTACATTTTTAGCTTCAATTTCAAGATCCTTATATTTGTCATAATTCTTTAACAGATATTTTTATTTGATGGCACTACCATATCAAAGAGAAGGTGTTTTTTTTATTATTGTTTTAATCATCATCATTATCGTTGTCCTCCTCCTCTTCCTCCTCCCACTAGATGTTCAGTGACTCTCGCTGGGCATTGTGTGACACTAAATCATCTCAGACCTCTAGAACCTTCTCTAGAACCCTTTATGCCATAATCTGGACAGCCGTAATCCATCTTCAAATCTCTGACTCATCCAGTCTTATTTTGAGTATTTGAGTGAACTGTTCCCTAGTGGTTTATTATCAGCATGACCCTTACCCACCCCCCTCATGTTCTATAGGATCTTTAGATTCAAAGTGAGGTCCTAGGATTTTCTTAATTTTTTTTTTTTTCATGTATCTTTTATATTCAAACACCAAAAGATTATATATGAACAATACAGACATAACTTTACTTGTAGTGAATTTAAATCATATTTGTTATTCTTTTCAGCACGAACCCTTCAGAGAGACAATGATGTGCCATGGAAAGGTTCCTTAGAAGAGACTGTTGAAGAGGTAAGACATGAATTTAATATCTATTGATATATCTATTTAGTGTATAAAATTTATATTCAAATGTAGCAATTATTATAGACCAGGTACTATTTTATTATTTTACTTTTATAATGTCTTTCATAATTCATCATTTTTCTGTTTCAGAAAAGTGCACCAAAGATTTTATAATTGACCATAGATGTGCTTAAGACAGGTTTATGTCCTAAAAAAAATATCTAAGCACTGCTAAAGTCTACCTCATGCCCATTCTTAACCCTGTGGTAAGATCTGTTACTTAAAAAAAATACCTATTATGCTAGGCCTCAATCAGATTGAAGGTTGACTGTAAAAAATATATATATTTTTTAAAAATGAATACAATAATAATGATCTGCCTTAATTTAGTTTTCTGATTAACAATAATTGTAAGTTTTGTGATTAAACATTATGTGAGAGTTTATTCACATTAGTATTTTCATTTTTGTTGTAGCATTTATTTGCCTCCCAGCAAAGGCAAATGAGATACAGGGCTTTTCTTTTTATAATGATGCTTACCCTGTACAAGGCCCAAGAGCCACTGGAGGTAGGGGGTTACAGAATAAGAGGTATAGATTATGGAGATATGTGGGGAAGATAATGGTTAACCAGAGACTTGAACAGATTAAGATTGTAATGATTAGGGAAGCTTCCTCTTGCTGGTTGGTTCCACATAGCAACAGTTTGTGGGAAGAAGCTGCTCAAATGGAACTAACATCTTACCAATGGAATACAAATAGGAATGAGAGTGATTCACTACAATGGGCGTGGCATGGCAGGTCTTAGCCATGAAAGTTAAAATTGGTGGAACTAAGGAATGTAGTACATCTGAACACTTTTCATGTAAAAAGCAATAGAGCAGGTTATGTTTAATATACTGAGTAGAGACAAAAATTGTTTACTTACAGTGATCAGCATCTTGAAGGTATCAGGACAATCAATAACCCTCTGCTTTTAATGCAGTAGAGAGTTGCTTTTAAAATTCACAAGGGCCAAACTCATCTGCATCAATTGTGGTCCCTTCATCTTCTTCAAATCAAGGGTTATTTGGTGAATGGGCTTTACTTTGCCTAAATAAAATTTCTGTGGGCCTGAAGATTTTTCTTATTTCTTTCATTAAAATGTTTTTTAGAAGTTAATTTTAAGTAAACTAAAAGAGGGTTTGGAGAATTTGGGACTTGCAGGACATATTGAAGTCCAAAGGAGTAGAGAGTAAACAGGGAAATAACATAACTCACAAGCTTGTATAAATGGATGACAGAACATAGAATGGAAGGAATAATAAGGAGACAAACATTGCTTAGAGTTACAAAGAACAGGAAGCTGTGAAGAGCTATGATCACCCACACCCTGAAGAGAAAATAAAGAAGAAAAATGTTTAAAATGATCTTTGTAGAATTTGTTTTGTCTGAAGCAATAGTGCCAATTCTTATTACTTCAGATTGAAGTCCGTGGGGGTAAAGGTATTGCAGTTCAGGTTGACCATAGCAATGAAGATGAAGTCAAAATGCTTTTTGAAAGGATCCGGAGAGAACAGAATGGCCAACTTGATCTTTTGGTCAATAATGTCTTTTCAGCTATTAAGGTCAGTATTTTAATGTTTATACTTTTAATGAAACTTATAAATATTTTTATTCAAACTGTATGGATCTCTAATCAAAACATAATTTTATTTTTATTTAAAGCCTAATTAATTTAACTCAAATTTATAAAAGCCTTTATTCAAAATGTAAAATATTACATAAAACGATTCATTTCTTATTTGCAATGCTTACTAATGACTGAAGACTTTTCTAGTAATAAAATAATAGTAATAATGAATGATGTATCAAATCAAAGTCTTGTGATAAAAATCAATAATAATAAAATGGCATAACTCTATTAATAAAATAATAGTAATAATGAAAAGTGTATTGACTTAGAGTGTTATGATAAAATAAAATAAGATGGAGTAAAACTAATAATAAAATAATTAAAGCTACTTGAGTTTAAATAAAAGCATTTATAAGTTTGAATAACTCTACATAATTTATTAATATCAACCCTAATAAAACAGGATCTTGCTCAATAAACTGAGTGACATCACTTCACCGGAAAATAGAAAAATATTCACTGGGGAGAAATTTCACTTAACTTAAATAATGCCTAACGGTTAAATCCACTTTGATAGGAAGGGAGACAAGCCTGCTACTGCCACTGCTTAGAACACATCCATTAAAGCTGAAGAGTTGGAGCTTAATATCTTCAGAAATTTGTTAGCCAAGGATGGTGAGTTCAATCCTTGGTAGGACCAGGAGCGTCAGCATAGTTAACAAATCCAACATAATGTCTCTTTTTTTTTTTTTTCTTTTAATGCTTTGATTTTAGTGGATGTAATTCAAATTCGGTTCAATCATCATTTTAAGATGTGTGAAAATGAACTTTGTCATCAATGCCTTTCAAGCTTAGTATTCTTTCCTCTGTACTCTAAATAGATTTTCTTAATTTCATGAATGCAATCAGATGTGACTCAAGACAACATTTCTTGGATTCCCAATCAGTGTAAAATAGCAATTGCTATTGTTGGAAGAAATTTATTCATAATATTCATTTGAGGTCACCAGTTTGCAAGTGAAACAAATGTTTCTTTTTGAGTTCAGGGATGAGAATTTATCCTTATTTACATGCAGTCTATTATCTTCATGTCTATGTTGATGTGGGTAACCTACATGGAACTTCAAACTGAACCCGTTATTTAATCTACAGGGGTAGATTGTTCTTGTTCCACTGTCCATGTCTAGGCATATCTCATCTAGTTCTCAGTTATTGCTCACCCTGTTTCCACTGAGTCTAAGTACACACTACATGATCCAGGGATTGAACTCACAATTACTATATTCATGAATCAATGCTTTAATCCATTCGGCTATTATCCCAAATGTACCTGATGAAGGCAAGAGGGCACAATGACTGAAATGTAATAACAACAGCAAAGATGAAGACAATAGTCTGCATATAAATAATGAAACAAATGTGTTTGACATTCTCATTGATTTCAATTTTAGTTTAAACACCAGATTTGGAATCAGTGAAGAAATGTTCAGGAAGAATATATAAGCTTCGTAGTGTAGATAAAAAGCAACAAAGATATTTTTTAATGAGTTGCTATATAAATCAATGAAATTTTGACAAAGCCAAAATAATATAATATCCATATGTATACAGTGAAGCAAAGCAATAGAGAAACTTCTAGAACAATATGACAGTCTCTAAATTTACTGTAAGAAATTTTGTATTAGGCACAAAAATAGTTAAATTACTTTATATATAAACATTTCTGTAATTAATGGATTTTAATCCAACATTATTCTTTATTACTATAAATGGTATTTAATGAATAAACATGTTTGAGTAGACATCCTCATTTTTTTTCAATGAAAGACTTTCTATGTCTAGGTTAGTTGACATTAAGGTCACTGTTTGAGAACAACAGGAATATCTACACAGACACATGTATATATTTCTTTAAAGAAATTTATAAAGTAACTTCTGAAAAGGACATAAAATTATAGGAGTATAATTTAATAATTTTAAAACTTTTTTCAGAGATACCAGCACTTGTTTATGACAGGTCAAAAATGAACAGTGAATATATCTGATTATATTGATTTGTGTACAAGGTGCAAACATAGTGGCAGACATTGTGTATCTAAACTTTGCTAATGTTATGAATTCTCGACTTGTTATTTTCAATCAAGATTGTTTTTGTTGCCATAGTAGCACAAGACAATGCAAATGAGAAATTCATATACACTATTAACTGGAGTCACCTGTAGTAGCAGGTCAAATATTTTGCTCTGCAAAGTGATCTAAAGTGTGTTAAAAGTTAAGGCTGCTTCTCTAATGAGAAAAAAGGAATTTTCAAGATGTAAAAAGATGATGATTTGGAACATGACTCTTATTAACTGTTTCTTGTCTGTGTATTTTCTTCTTTACTTAACCAATTTTATGTCATAGGATCATGCAGAATTAAGTAATGGAAATGAAAAACAGAATTGACAAATTGAGTTCAAATATTATTTGAAGCCACTAAGATTCACTTAGTACTAATGATAAATCTTCATCCATATGATCTGTGCCATTACTAGATATCTTAACATAAAGGTCTTGTCTCTGGTATGTCATAATGGTTAACAGATAAGAGAGTGAGGGAATTAATATTTTGAGAAAAACAATCTCCTATAATTACTGTTCATTTTCAATGAAGATCTTTTTTTTGTTGTCATAGTAGGACATGACAACACAACAGTGAAATTTAATCCTACAGAATAGATTGCAGTGGCAGGGCAAACACTTTGCTCAAATAAGTTGCTTTCAAAGTGTATTTTGTGGGGATGTGTTTGGTCTATCATTAGTTACTTACATTATTTACAGTCAGACGAAACTTCTCATCTTTGTTGTCACTATCATAGTGTTTTGGCTGTTACAATCTACATGGGTTAGCAAACACCTTGCTAATCCATGTTACCTTCAGGGAACAAACAAAAAAAACTCTTCTCATTTATAAATACAGATTTAATTTTTATCTTCTTTAGGTCATCATACAGAATATAGGCTCACCATTCTGGGATCAACCTTTTTCATATTGGGATGAAGTGAGTCATGTTGGACTCAGGTAAGGTCATTTTAATTCTTCACTAATATTTTCTTTGCTTAGTAGAATAACATGAGAATCTGTTACAAGGAGGAGTATCATGTATATAAAATGTACCCCTTTTCCTGCCTATCAATATTTGTATATATTTGTATGGGATATATAATGTGTGTGTATATGCACAAGTAGTAATGTGAATCTGGGTATGATGATAAACTACATCTGGCAGCAAGGCCTCTGATTAGGAGATTGGAGGTTTTGAGGAGTCTGAAACCACCTGACCCAGGGTGGTAGCATCTGTTAGGGTTCTAGTTATCGGCAAATAGTGAGCCTCCAAACAAAAACAAAATAGTATAAATATACATTTTTAAAGTGAAAATATCAGCAATACATTTTTTTATAGTAAAATTATCATCTATACCTATTTATAGCAAAATGACCAGCAATACATTTTATCTGTAACAGAAGGCATACAATTGCATTCAAAATATATTTTGTTGAAGCCATAAAATTGTGTTAAAATATTTAGATTTTGGTATTTAATTAAATAACCCATAGAGGTTGATATGCCACTAAACAAAATCAACCAACCAAATACTAATCTCACATGTATATATAATTAATGTTTTACTAAATTGTTATATATATTGTCTTACAATATTCATATATCTCAGTTTATATCTCTCTCTTACTATAATTCACCTTCATCACTGCCATGCGCCAATGGCTTAGTGGTAGAATTCCCAACTGACGCCAATTCAGTCGGGTTTTGATCCTAACTAGAGGCAACCAGACATCTAGCCACACTGATAAGCTGTGATACAGCAAAACAGTCTGTCTGTGGATGACAATATATATATCTATCTCTATCTATAAAAGGTAGGATGTGTGTGTGTGTGTAACGAATACACGGCCGCAATTTTTCGATGGATTTGCACCAAAATTTACATGCACATGCTCCAAGTTAGCAGGAAGGCCAAAACCAACATTGCATTTCTCAACTCCCATCAATAGTGGAAATAATCGATTTTTTCATGCTTCTACGGCAGTTTTCATGTAGTTTGTGGCCATTTTGTACTGGTCAGTGAGAGCCAATAGCTGGCTGCCATGAATAGGCAGGAAGATTCTATTGACCAGCTGACTGACATGAATGTTAACTAGCATGCTAGCATGCAAAAAAAAAATCGATAGCTGCATTCATCACAAGTGGGAAAAATTTAAATCTGCATGGCACTTTACTCCAATTGGCTCATTCGCTTGCTTAAACTCAACGTTGATTCTGATTCCGCAGAACTGGGTTGGGTGTGAAAAAGTATTTGTTGTTAACATTCTTTTTTCATTTGGTTTTTCCAGTTACGAGTCCTTTTTTAAAGCTGATCGTTTTGTGTTCATTTTGCTTAGTTCTTTTTTCGTAACAGATTTAATGTTTAGTATAGAGCTTAGAAAAAATTCACAGTGTGAGATAGGCAAGGAGTAAGGCATGTAGCAACATCAGCACAGCAAAGGGCACTCCTTTAAAGGCAAGGAAAGGCAAAAATATTTTAAGTCAATTGATGGCGATTACTGTATGAGTCATACGATTTTTGAATCAAGCACGTGCAATGCTGGGCCATGCTGCTAGTATATATATATATATATATATATATATATATATAGTTTATGAAAAACTAGGTAATCTGTATGGGTAAACCTAAGGAGGATAAAATCCAGAGAGCTCAATGTAAATCTAGAGCAAATAATTTAAATAAAAACAGACCACTTTAAGATTCCATGTAATAAATTATTTCACCACAGCCCTTTTAAAGGACTGCGGATCATCAGACTTTACTTCCAAACAAAAAATGAAAAGAAAATTTACACATTTTTGATGGGCCGTATTAAACACATGTAAATTAACAAAGTGAGGAAGTGAGGGGGGAGAGAGAAGACATGAGTGATTTAGCAGATATTGACACATTTAAACGGTTAACTTAACGGAAGTTATATATTGATATCGAAGGAGTAGAGAAGAAAAAACCCATAGGGAGAAAAAGAGAGAAGGAAGTTATGAGAGAAGGTGTCACTAATTTTCTTTGTAAAAAAGAAAAAAAAGGGTAGAAACAGATGCTGTTATTTTGTTTTACTTTGAAAGTGTTATTTTGGAACAACTGGCTGGTTGCTCACTTTCAGAGTACACTCTTTTTCTAGGCTAACTGATCCTTACAGATGTCTATTATCAAGTCTTTATTTTCCCTTTTAAAGAAACTACACTTCTTCACTAACTAATCAATAGAAAATAAAATAAAGCATCTATTTCAAATATGAGTATCCACTATAATAACATTTGAAGTAATAAAAACGTTGGGTTAAAAAATACATCCATGTAGTGAGGAAGTGTGTTTTCCTTAAAAGGCAAAATAGAGCCTTTCTTGAACTGTAATAATCTTCATAGCTGAGTGCTAAAGTACACCAGATCAAATAATGGTTTCTTCTACAAAGAGGGACACAGGTTCAATCCCTGTTGAATAGCACATTTTCTGTATTAACATTTCTCGAATATGCAGGCCATTAGATGTAATACAGACTGTTTAAAATAAAAATTGGGTGTCTATTTCAAAAATGAGTATCCACTATAATAATGTTTGAAGTGTGTGTGTATACATATATATATATATATATATATATATATATATATATATATATCACATAGACAAAATATTGGTTCCTGAAAATGACAGAGGATTAAAAATACTTAACCAAAACAACACAAACATCAACTTTGGGCAGTTTATTCACAGTTTTGATCCCAATACACAACATCTTATTCATAAATTGGAAAAATATAATAAAAATTAAACAGACAGACCTTGTTTGTTTTTATTTGGATGACTACTTGCTGCCTAAAAATACCTTATTTATCAACAGACTGAAATAGGTAGATGTCAAATATCAGGCCAGACATGTAATTTTAAACAGAATTTAAATTTCAGATATTTAAACTAGAATTTTTTTAAGTTTTCATTATTTTACCTTAATTTTTTTTATTTTTGGAATTGTTTTCAGACTATGGTATTGGAGCATGCCATCAATAAATACTAAAGCTTAGGTAACTCCAAACTATGCTATGCAAGAGTATTCAATTCCTTGACACTTTTCACATTCTCACAAAGTTTGAGAGTGTGATATTATTCATTCATTTGAAATAAATTGCTGAAGAAAGAAATCCCTGACCTCAACAATCCAAACTAATTGTGACTGTAAAAACACTGGGAACAATATGAGTTATTTGAAAAGTTCTATGACTGTGCTTAAAATGGCCAAACAGAAGACCAATGTCAGTCTGTGAATATTGCAAGCCTCACTTCCTACAATTTAAGTCTTTTGTCATACAAAATTATAAGAGATGTCAGACTTTGTTTCAATGTGACTTGGTTTCTTTAGAAGAAACAACTTCAAGCTCTTGTTAATTAGTAACTAATTAGTTTTAATTAGCTGATTACTATGGTTAATTATCAAACAAGCTGATGTCCATTAGCAAGAGATTCTACTAATTAGTAATTTTGGATACACCTGCTTTCCTGTCCTTTCCTGAATTATTGATTGCGATTTTGTGTCAAGGTGTTTAATGGCTGACATATGGCACAGTGCCAAGAGAATAAATTCTTGGAAAATAAAGATTTCTTTGGAGCTTTTTTTTTCTAAAATTTCATGTCCCTTCAGAACATAGGTGATCATAGCTCTCCACAGTTTCCCTATCTTTATTATCTGTGAATTGCCATATATTCTTGAGAAAGATAATACAGTTATTCTCATTGTCTTCTCCATGGTTTTGAATTTCAGTTTCCTTCTTTTCGACTAGTTGCCACCCAAGGCTAGAGAGCCCAGTCTACTCTGCTATTTAACTCATAGTTGGGTAAAAAAGAAAATCATTTGTGACTTTTTCAAGGGCATGGTGCAAAAGTGAATGCATCAGACATCATCATATATTGATCCCATGATCAGGTGTATTTGTAGGGTTTCTGCACAGTTGAGCACCTGACCAACTTCATATGTCTTGATTGTATGCCAATGTCTAAGTCTCTGTGAATGATATTCCAGTTCACTAAGTGAAGTTATCAACCCATTCTTTCTCAGTCTGCCTCTTCTTCTTTTGCAACAGTCTAGCATGGGATTTGAATTCGGCTCACCAGTTCTAATTTTTGCTCCAATATCTGCTACACTAACCACACATCACTTCAGAAATTAGAAACATGAAAAATGTCATTTTCAGATTTCCAGGAATAATTAAAAAATCTGAGTCATTAAAAAATGAAGGCCACTTCTGTGACTCAAATAATTTTGAATTTACTGTCAGTAAAAGATTGGAAGTTAACTACTGATTTCTATTTACTTTACATCAGTCAGATATGAGTTAAATCATAGGACTTGTATCTGGAAAAGTCATGTTTATTTTCAAAAAATTATGAATGCTGTATTCACTTGCAAAAAAAAATATCACAGTCTAAAATATGCCTCAGTTTTAAATAACCCACAGAGGATTGATAATCTGTAAAAAAAAAAAAAAAAAAGGTCAAAGTTAAATGTAGCATAGCATTTGCAATTTTTGACAATTCTTGATTGTAGAAAATCAGTTGATATGTTTAAGATCTAAGATTGTGCTGCTTGTTTCAAAGCCATATGAAGGCAATTACATGTGCCAGTTCTAAGAAATTAAAAAAAAATCCAAAAATTTTCTAACTGGAAGAACTTAAACAATAAAGACAACTTGGTATGGCATCAAAAGTTCTTACCAACATGAAGAACAGCTATTAGCAAACTGGGTTCTTCAGCCTTGAGTGGCAACCAGTCAGGAGAAGAACATCTCTAAATTCAAAAACCATATGTAGCCCTAGCAAAGCTTATATAATGCAGCTAATAAAAAGATTGTGGAGTTTACAATGACATTTTTGATTTCAACTGTGTTTAGCTTGAGTGATTGTGTTTACTGTCTAGGTAAAAGTTGGTATATTAAATGCTGATTTGCAAAGCAAGCGGGTAGCTAGACAATCTACATCTAGACGACTGGCATGATTAAATCTCTCCACTAGGTCTTGTGTCAGATTAAACTATGCTGAGTAAATAATATATAATAAAAATGGATGTTCCTGAATGTTCATGTATGTATTTTGTAATTTAACAGAACAGATAGAAACAAAAACAAATGCTTCTTGAAAGAAAGAATTTCATTAAAGAGTTCACTGAAAAATGACCATATTTGATAACATATAATAGCCATTTTTCCCCACCAAATTCCTGTCAATAGTAAGTCTGAGTGGTTCAATAATGTCAAGTTGGCAACTAATTTAAAAAAATGATCTATATTCTGTCATTAAATTTAAATTCGTAAATTATGCACTTGTACTTTTTTCCTTTTCTTAATCAGCCATATTGTTTTCATTTGTAGAAATCATTACCTCTGTTCAGTTTATGCAGCTCAAATGATGGTGCCTCGAAAGCAAGGTCTCATTGTTAATGTATCTTCAGCAGCTGGTTTGTTCTATACATATTCTGTAGTCTATGGAGTTTGTCAAGAAGCTGTAAGTTTTTTTGCTTTGTTTTTTTTTTGTTTTTTTGTTTTTTGCTGGGGAGAAATCCTTTGAGAACAAAATGACTTACATATATTAAGGGTAATTTTAAAATAATAATTTAAGAATCCAAACCATCCAAAGGGTTGTTTAATGTTAGTGTGTTGCTATAAAATGTGAGGTAAAAATATATAGTATCATTTGTTGATTGTTGAATAGGCAGCTGTTTAAACTTAGTAACAAAGATAAATGGGAATACAAAGAATAAGTTTGTAGTTTTCTCTATGTGTTTGTGTGTAAATGTTATTTTTATGTCATATTTGAGTTAACATCTCAGGAAAATTAATATCAACTAGCCCAGATTAAAAAGTCCTACTAACAAAAAATGTACCTCCAGACAAGGATCGAACCTCTATTCTCTTTTTCCATCAGAGAAACCACTCCTCTAGCTAAGTTGGTAACAGCACATGTCAACTGTAAGAGTGATTCCCATGATGGAAAAAAGGGGATTCAGGTTTGATTCCTTTCAGGAGGCACATTTTTCTTTTAGTATGACTTCTCAATCTAGTCCAATTGTTATTAATTTCACTGTTTAGAAAAATAAACAGAGATGTCAACTTGAAAAAGTGAACTCATTAAATGTTTATAAAATAAAGAATATTAAGAAATAATGTCAGATTTAAAAACAAATCCACTTAAAAAGGAAAAAATATAATGTAAAAGATATCGGGTACAAATTTCTTATTTTTATTCAGTTGAGCCAGCTCAGACATTGCTGAGTCTATCACACCAACCATCACGGTCCTGCATCAAGGTCAGAAGGTCATTAGGGAGGCATTCAATGACATAATATAGCTGATCAATGTAGATGATTGCTGGGTGACCAACCTGTCTTGTGCCATGACAAGGTGTCCAGAGCAGTAGATCACTCGCAAGTTCTTGTTTTGCTTGCCAGTATTGTCCTGCAAAGTGCAATCTACATTCATCTAAGATTGTAGAAATATCAGGGATGGTTTGATAGAGCTGTGATTTAGTTGGATGTTATCTCCAACACATCTTAAGTATAGCTCTCAGGATCTGAGTGTAGGTTTCATTGAGCTTAGACTCTAGGGTTTTAGTTAATGTCCAGGCAGTGGTACCATACATTAAAACTGCCTCAACAGTAACACAAAAGAATCTCCATTTTAGGTTGTCTGGCAGATCAGATTTATGGATTGCATCCATTTGGCACAGAGGTTAAGAGTGATCAGTTATGATTATAGAACAAGAAAAAAAATAAAATCTATTTAAAAAAAAAAATTAAATTCATTTAAAAAAGAAAAAATATAATGTAAAAGATATAGGGTACAAATTTATTATTTTTATTCAGTTGAGCCAGATCAGACATTCATGAGTCTATCACACCAACCATCACGGTCCTGCATCAAGGTCAGAAGGTCATTAGGGAGGCATTCTGTGACATAATATAGCTGATCAATGTAGATGATTGCTGGGTGACCAACCTGTCTTGTGCCATGACAAGGTGTCCAGAGCAGTAGATCACTCAAGTTCTTCTTGTTTTGCTTGCCAGTATTGTCCTGCAAAGTGCAATCTACATTCATCTAAGATTGTAGAAATATCAGGATGGTTTGATAGAGCTGTGATTTAGTTGGATGTTATCTCAACACATCTTAAAGTATAGCTCTCAGGATCTGAGTGTAGGTTTCATTGAGCTTAGACTCTAGGGTTTTAGTTAATGTCCAGGCAGTGGTACCATACATTAAAACTGCCTCAACAGTAACAAAAAAGAATCTCCATTTTAGGTTGTCTGGCAGATCAGATTTATGGATTGCATCCATTTGGCACAGAGGTTAAAGAGATCAGTTATGATTATAGAACAAGAAAAAAATAAAATCTATTTAAAAAAAAAATTAAATTCATTTAAAAAAGAAAAAAATATAATGTAAAAAGATATAGGGTACAAATTTATTATTTTTATTCAGTTGAGCCAGATCAGACATTCATTAGTCTATCACACCAACCATCACGGTCCTGCATCAAGGTCAGAAGGTCATTAGGGAGGCATTCTATGACATAATATAGCTGATCAATGTAGATGATTGCTGGGTGACCAACCTGTCTTGTGCCATGACAAGGTGTCCAGAGCAGTAGATCACTCGCAAGTTCTTGTTTTGCTTGCCAGTATTGTCCTGCAAAGTGCAATCTACATTCATCTAAGATTGTAGAAATATCAGGGATGGTTTGATAGAGCTGTGATTTAGTTGGATGTTATCTCCAACACATCTTAAGTATAGCTCTCAGGATCTGAGTGTAGGTTTCATTGAGCTTAGACTCTAGGGTTTTAGTTAATGTCCAGGCAGTGGTACCATACATTAAAACTGCCTCAACAGTAACACAAAAGAATCTCCATTTTAGGTTGTCTGGTAGATCAGATTTATGGATTGCATCCATTTGGCACAGAGGTTAAGGGTGATCAGTTATGATTATAGAACAAGAAAAAAAATAAAATCTATTTAAAAAAAAAAAATTAAATTCATTTAAAAAAGAAAAAATATAATGTAAAAGATATAGGGTACAAATTTATTATTTTTATTCAGTTGAGCCAGCTCAGACATTCATGAGTCTATCACACCAACCATCACAGTCCTGCATCAAGGTTGGAAGGGCATTTGAGTTGCATTCTGTGTCATAACATAGCTGATCAATGTAGATGGTTGGTAGGTGACCAACCTGTCTTACTCCATGGCCAGGTGTCCAGATATTGGACTAATAGTGCTTAATTGAATAATAAAGTAGAGAAAAAAAATTCCTATGTTACATGTTTCATCACTTGAAAGAACTTTTTCAGACTAATAATAGTTTTATTAATGGAGTCAGTCTTTTATATATGTATTAGGGGATATATGGTGGTGCAATGGATAGTGGCTTGGAATGAGAAATCGGAGAACCATGTTCAAATTCCACTCAAGTTGATTATATTCACTTACATGCTAATACCTTTGAGAAATGTATGAATCTCTTCTCCCCCACCCCTGCTATGGATAAATAGCAGAATAGTCTGAATCGTATAGGCTTGGCGGGGAAACCAGTCTAGGAGGAGGAAAACTCTTTGTTTTTGCAAATTGACAACAAAAATAATAAACACTGTTCATTTATTAGATTGTTTATTTATACTATTCATTTATTATATTGATTATTGGAAAAGTTGGCAAAGCATTGGCTAATTGCTAATTGAATCAAACTTTATGAAATGCTAAATTATAAGGATTTCCTGATCACAAATTTTAATTTAGTAAATGTTTATAAATTTAAAAATGAAAATTGTTTTCATATTTCTTTCTTTCTAAATTGTTAAATTATAAATATTGCATTAGTCTTAATGCAAGAGTATTAGTTTTTAGAAGGTTGTAAATATAAAATTATTCTTATAAATAAATAATCTAATTAGTAAATATTTTTCTTGTAAATTCTCAAGAAATAAAAAATTTATAAATTCACATTGATCATATGTTTAGGTTTTATTACAATTCTAATCATTGCTTTTTAAAACAATAAACATTGCTGAGAAGTGAAGGTAGTTAAAATAATAGCAGTGTCAAAGGAAAACCCATCCTTTTGATACTCTGTTTTTTTGCAGACACAAAAGTTAAAGATTGCCAAAAAATTTGTGTGATGGTCATTAATGTTTATTTAACTTGCTTTTCTTGTCTACTTTAATGTTCTAGTGTGACAGAATGGCATTGGATTGTGCACATGAACTAAAGAAACATGAAGTGTCTTACGTGAGTTTATGGCCTGGATATGTACGAACTGAAACTATGGTCCAAACATTTAGAAACAAGGAATATCCTGTTGGTCTCCCTCATTCGGTAATATAAACAGTTATTCAATAATCCATTAATACCTATTTTCAGTAATTATTTCAAAGTCTCATTTCAAAATTTTTTGCACATGATTTCAGTCAATGCAAATTTCAATTATCATGATTTGGAAAGCTGCAACTATTTATAATTATTCAGATTTTTGTGGAAACTCAGCTTCAGTTAATTACTAGAATTTATGAAAGAACCTGAAGTATTTAAACTTGTTGAAACCCCAATAATTTTTAACAATCCAAAATCTATTTATCTTACATATCTATAAGCCTACCATTCATCCATGCTTAGAATATTGCTGCTACATATGGTCCAGTGTCCTTGCTATTTACCTTGAGCTCCTTGATAAAATCCAAAGAAGAATCAGCAATATTATTGGTCCTGATCTGGCAGCTCAGCTTCAGTTATCAATATTTTCATGTTAATTGTTTCAATGATCTCTTCTCTATGGTACCTAGACTTTATGAATTTAAGGGCAGTACTAGACTGGCATCAAGATCTCATCAATTTACAGTTGAGCTGGCTACATGTAGTCGTAAATTCTTTGCTAACAGTTTCTTTTTTCACACTTCCTCACTCGTGGAGCTCCCTTCTGGTTCCATGCTTTCCATCCAACTTTAATCTTCAAAAATTTAAATGCAATGACAATTGATATCTACTGTCCTCCTGATTACTCTTTACTCTTCCCACTCATTATTAATGTTTCTGTTCTTAATTCTTCCATACCCTGTAACCCCTTGTGTCTTAGTGACTTTACTGCCTTACTTGTGGAACTTCTTTCTGGCTGCATGCTTTCCAGCCAACTTTAATCTGCAAAAATTTAAATGAAATGCTAATCACTATCTACTGTCCTCCTAATTACTCTTTCTTCTTCCTGCTCATCATTATTGTTTCTGTTCCTAATTCTTCCATACCTTGTAACCCCTTGTGTCTTAGTGGCTTTACTGCTTTGCTTGAGGTGATAGCAAATAAAAAAATCTATGTTTTTCATTAATTAATTTATTAATAATAATTTTTTGTTGTTGTTGGGTGGGGAACAATAGTAAGGAAGGAAGCAAAAAGGAAAATGTTGAATCAACTTTGGACAAAAATTTTTCACAGAAACAGTTTAATTTTGATGCAATTATAAGCATACAGCTAAATTGGCAACAAGGTGTTTTCAATTTTCAGTTGAAGTGGCTAGATGTAACTGTAAGTTCTATGTTAAGAGTTTTTTTTTCATCTCACACTTCTCTCTTGTGGAATTCTTTTACATCTTCTTGCTTTCCAGTCAACTTTGATCTTCAACAATGTATATGCAATGTCAATTGTTATCTTATGTTTTCTTAACTTCTGTCCTTTTATTGTTTTCTCTCCTTAATAATAGATTATTTTTCTCATATTCTCTCACACTCAGTAACCCCTTGCATCTTAGTGGCTTCATTGTCTTGCTTGGTGTGAAATTATTAAAAAAAAAATGATGATTAAAATCTAGTTTTTAACCTAAACAGTTTTTGACATTATATACAGCTTAAAAGGATTTCTGAGCCTCGATTGACTATTTGAAAGATAGAATTCAATGTAATTATTACCATTGATTCGATAAATCACTTACCATGAATTCATCTTACACAAGTAAAAATTGTTACAAAATGATACTGTAAAATGGGCTTTGCCTTTTCATATTTTATCAATGATTATTGTTATCTGATAATCATCATTAAAATATAGAAAGACAAACTACACTAATGATTTAAATCTTGATGAATAAAGTGCAAAGCTGAATTAGACCAGAAATAAGACAAAAAGTGTAGCTTTGTAGGAATAAAGTGTTGTTGCCGAAACTGGAGTTTGAACACAGATCACCAGAGAGCAAACACAAGCAATCCCATTTTGAATAAGTAGATCACATGGTGGTAAAGAAAATATATATATGGGAATTAGTGTGGTGTCTAAGTGATCACTATATGGATTACTATTTGGATCACTATTTAGTGGTTACTATTCAAGCGAGTATTATCAAGCAAGTACTATTAGTGCGAGTGTTATTCAAAGGCGTCTGACAGCAGTATTGTTCAACGGCATTACTATAGTTGTATCTGTGATTACAAAGTCTCTACTACGACAAGCATTATGAAAGTGACAACAAGTATTTGTTGACATCACAAAAGTGGCAACAAGTGTTCGTAGACATCACAAAAGTGGCGATGAGGATTCCTTGAACACAAGGAAAAAATTAATCTGCAAAATATTCAACAGAGTACAGCAGAATGGAAGAATTAAAAGGTGTCATGGTTCAAATGTTGCAGCAACAAAAACTACAAGAACAACAATTGCAGCAACAAAAACAACAACATGAACAACAATTACAACTACAACAACACAAGTTTTTTTGAGTTGTTTACCATAACGGGGGAAGGAAAAACTTCAGATTCATTCATTCCAGATGCTGCTGCTAATTCAATCAGCAAGTTTGTGTACAATCCAGAGGAAGGGATAACTTTTCCAGCTTATTATAGAAGATATGAAGGGATCTTCAAAAGGGATTGTTTGCATTGGAATGATGAAAAGAAAGTTCAGTTATTATTAAGGAAATTGTCTCCTGTTAAACATGAAAAATATGTGAATTATATTTTGCCAAAAAAAAAACAGGCTGAAATTTCTAGGACACATGATGAGGAATGAAGGCTTGGAGAATTTGACACTCACAGGGCATATTGAGGGCAAGGAAGATAAGAGAAGGCAGTGGATCATCTCTACCTCATGAGTTTGTGTAAATGGATTGTAGGACAGGGTGTGGGAGGCTTGGCAAAGGGAGAAATGAGCCAATTGAGATAGGAAGTTCTGGAGAGCTATGATAGTTCACATCCTGAATTGACATGGAACATAGAAGACGACCAATGATCATTAGTTTAAATTCTTGAGAAAAAAGAAAAAAACAATAATCTAAATAACAGGGTAACAACTCTCTTAAAATTATCTATTACAAATTATTGACAAAGCAATTATTCGTGCCTAGATGTTTTGTTTTTTGGGGTTTTTTACAGTGATTTTCACCCTGTACAAGGCTCGGGAGCCGCTCGAGGTAGAGGGTTTCAGATTACGAAGCACAGTTTAAGTGGATATGTAGGGAGAATAAGTTAAATCTAGACTTGAGCAGGTTAAGATTGCAGCAATTGGGTTCATGGGAAAGCCTCTTGGGAGTCAGTTCCACAAAGCAGTGGTCCATGAGAAGAAGCTACTGAAATGGAACTTACATCTCACCAATGGAATACGAAGAGAATGAGGGTGGATCACTGAAATGGGCATGGCATGGTAGGTCTTAGCCTTGAAAGTTAGAACTGATGCAAGCACTTTCTATGGAAATAACAATAGAGCAGTCAGAATGCTGCAATGTTTCATCTGTGAGAAAAAGGGTTATAAGGTGGAAAATAACTTGTCACGCCTTTGAACTCTATAAGATGGAAAATAACTTGTCACCAACAAGGATGCAGGCACGCCTTTGAACTCTATAAGGTGGAAAATAACTTGTCATGCCTTTGAATTCTATAAGGTGGAAAATAACTTGTCATGCCTTTGAACTCTATAAGATGGAAAATAACTTGTCACCAACAAGGATGCAGGCACGCGTTTGAACTCTATAAGGTGAAAAATAACTTGTCACACACAAGGATGCAGACACGCCTTTGAACTCTTGAGACTGGAAAGTGAAAACTGGGAAACTCCTGTTCATATATAGCAGTAGTACTCCATTTTAAGCCGGATTTGGCTCTTGTAAGGGTAGAGAATTGCACGAGGAGTCAGGAACTTACAGGAGTGGTACAGGGAACTGATCATTTTCCCAGCATCTTTGGCATTTGATCGTATGTACAAGCTCCACTTGAGGTCTGAATTGAATTTAAGGCCTAATGAGTGCACAAGACATGGAGCCTCCCTGATTTAAACAGGAATTACCTGTTTAATCATCAAGCAACATAGTCAGCAACTATCAATAAAATGAATGCTATAAATCAGAATTGATATAAACATAATAGAAAATAAACATTTAGGAAAATAATTTAAAACGATTTTGTAATTTTATATTTATTAATTATCATTTCAAAGTTTTTCTGAAGATCCTATTAAGATTGCAACTTAATGCCATAATACATTTTGTGATTATATATCATATATATATATATATATATATATATATATATATATATATATATATATATATACATCATCAAGATATATATATTTTATAGTATATCATTTAATTTTTTTCTTCAGCGTAAACTTGAATCAAATATTTTGCATGGGGAAACACCAGAATATATTGGTAAATGCATTGTCCATCTACTTCGAGGTAAGTTTCATAAGTTACACTTATTCAAAATGCCTTTATATGCAAAAATGTGCAAATTATTAGCTGTGATGCAGAAAATTCTCATCACAGTTACTTCTAAAATCTGACCAAAATGATCAAATATCATAATCATTTTTTAATCCTTTCTTGGTCGGGTCAAGAAATTTTTCCTGATAACACTGTATCATTGTTGAAGCATATCAAATTAATTTTTTGAAAAAATATCTTTCATATATATGTGATATCAAAGTCATAAAAAATGAGTTGGAATTAATTAAAATCTAACTTCTATAGTAATTCTACTAAAAAGTAGAAATCAAATGATCAGAAAATGTTAATGTTTTTTCTTGATAATGTAGATTTCATTTTTGGGAAATAAAATTTGTTTTATGATGATCTTAAATTGTCTAAGAAACATGCCAAGATAAAAAAAAAAAAACAAATTCCAGATTGTCTCATATATAGTTGAAGACAGAATTATTCACCCTCACTGAATATTTGGATATTTTCTAAGGAAATGTGAATATTTGCAAGTATTTACTGAATTTATCGTAAATAGTTGATTCCATATTTAGTTTTGAATAAATTGTGAAATTTTTAGAAGTTTTGATCTATTATATTCATAGTTATAGATTTTTTTTTAAAAATTGGTACAGTCCAAAATTTTTCAACTCCCACTCTTATGCAAATTATGAAATAATATTGCTCTGTGGCAATTGTAATGTTTTTTTTTCTTAGTTTAACATTTAATACAAACACCCTTTGAAAATTACAATTATCACTTTTTAAAAGAAACATTGATGAGGAGTGAAGATTTGGTATGGTTTGTTTTATGACATATCAACCTCAATGGGTTATTTAATGCCAACGAGATTTTTTTTTGCTGGTAATAATTTTTTTAAGTATTTCTGGTATTAAAACCTATTTTTACACTTTCATAGTGTTTTTACCCCAGTTTCGGGGTTAACTATTTGCCCATAGCTGGGACCCTAACAGGTGCTACTACCCCAGGTCAAGGTGGACCTGGGAACACCAGCAATTAAGAGGTGGTTTCACACAAATATAATATTGAAAATAAAATAGTATTGACCTGATTCTATAACATTTTAAATATGTGAGTGCCATGTACTGCAATGAATTCAATATGTGAGTGACATGTACTGCAATGAATTCAATATGTGAGTGACATGTACTGCAATAACTCATTTATTCTGCAACAATGGTGAATATGGCTGAATTCGATAAGAAATTTCAAGTGAAAATAGCTGATGAGTACAAATAAAGTCATGGATATACAACACTTTTCAAGCATTTAAATGGTCCTAGATCAACAATTTATAACATTATCAAGAAGTACAAGAAGACACATTGTGTTGAAAATGAATTCAGGACTGGCAGAAAACAGTTAATTTCTGAGAGAATGGAAAGGAAAATTATCAGATGTCTTGAAGAATCCTCACTTAACAACAAAGGACATTGTCAAGGATGTAATAACATCAGGGCTGAATGTATTGAGCAGGACTTTGAGCTTGTCACACAAGGCAAACAAACTTGCTTAAGGCTAAACAACTAAAATGCAGAATAGCTTATACTAGAAGCCATCTAGAACATGGGAGTAAACATTGGAACTCTGTTTTATGGTCAGATGAAACCAAACTAGCATTATGTGGTCACATGAACTCCCGTTATGTATGGAGGAAATGGAATGGCACTCATAAACCAAAAAATACCCTCCCTACAATTAAGCATGGTGGTGGTAGCATTCTTCTCTGGAGATGTTTTTCTGTTTCTGGACCAGGAGAACTAGTGGGGAGAGTACAGGGTATTATGGTTAAAAAGCAGTATGTAACTATTCTTAAAAATAATATAAAACAAAGAGCACAAAAGCCGTCTTTGGGGCCTCGCTGTATGCTCCAATATGACAATGACCCAAAACACATGGCACAAATTGGTACAAAATACTTTGATGACAGCAAAATTAAGGTATTGGTATACCCCATACAAAGTCCTGATCTAAACCCCATTGAAAATTTATGGGCATATTTCAAGATAAAATTAAGAAAAGAAGTCCTTCTGATTTGGAGGAACTAGAAGCTATTGTTAAGGAAGAATGGAGCAAAATACCTATGAGTGTGTATAGAGACCTTGTAAGGAACTCTCAAAAATAATTAAAGGCAATAATCAAGGATAAGGTTACACAATGAACTATTGAGGCAAGGGGGCCAATAATTTTGTCCTATATTAAATGATTTTTTGGTGAATTTTTTTTGTATTATTGCTAGACATTAAACTAAAAATTATGTTGTCGGCATCACTGCTCAATCTTTGAATTCCATTATTTCATCATTTGTGAAAAAATGCACATAAAATTTCCATGAAAATTTGAGGTATTACAGCTTTATTTGTAATTATGGAAAGGGTGTAAATGATTCTGTCCACAAATGTGTGTGTGTGTATATATATATATAGTCATCCACAGACAGACTGTTTCGCTGTATCACAGCTCATCAGTGTGGCTAGACGTCCGGTTGCCTCTAACTAGGATCGAAACCCGACTGAATTGGCATCAGATTCCACCACTAAGCTGTTGGTGCATAGCAGGGATGAAGGTGAATTTAAGTGTATTCATTTTTAGATAAACACACAGTGACTGAGAGAACTTGATTTGATTTACCAAAGAGTCTTGCATTATTAGCTGTAATAGTCACTGTTTACAAACCCACATTTCATCCCCAGAGAGCTCAATATATATATATATATATATATATATATATATATATATATATATATATATATATATATATTGGTGCTGTAATAGATAGCAACTCAGAATGAAAAATTATAGAGCCAAGTTCAAATTCCAGACAAGTTCATTACATTCACTTACATGCAAATTCCCTTGGGGAAAGTATGAATTCATCTCTTCTCTCTTCAGCTATGGGTTAAATACTAAGACAGACTCAACTCTTCTGCCAGTCAAGGAGTTGGAAATCTCTGAATTCAAAACCTGAGAAGCTGTTGGGGACCTCGTTGCACACTATGTTCACCATTTCTTTGTGTGAATGGTTCTGTACAGTCTTCATCATTATATTCAGATCATATATGCAGGGTAGTCAGTTCTAGGACATTGGACCCACATGCATCAAAGACAATAGGAGAGTTCATATATATATATATATATATATATATATATATATATATATATAACAAAATCAAAAAATACCTTATATAGAGATATAGATCTATTTCAACCGATGAACACTAGGTAAGTTTTATTCAACCCCGGTGTATAGACTGTGTTTGTGTCAGAAGTTGAAATTTAACATTGACAGCCGTCAAAAAATTGATACAGAATTTATCCATTTTGATGTTTCAGTCAGACAAAATGCCCAAGTCAGTGGTTAGGGGAGGGTGGAATATATTAGCCTTAAAGGGAAGTGGTTTTATAAAATTAACCCAGATATTAACTTTATGACATTAAATTGGGGTTATGTGAAGAACGAGATGTTAATTTGAAACTAAAAAGATGGCCGAAAAGGGAGTTTTATATATATGATTAAAGACATGTTAGAAAGAAAATAGTTTTTTACTAACCAAATTAGATCCAAAATTAAAATGTTCAAAAAGCTTTAGTAGAAAAAAGAAAAAAATTTATGAAGCTTGGCAGCCTGATGTTTTAAAATAAATGCATCTGAATAAATTCCAAATTGGAAATTGATTTGTGATTTTCCAATATTTGTTTCAATTATTGAATTTATTCTTTGTGTTATATTTATTGTTATCACATTTTCACATCATGTCATGAGTCCCATAGCCCATTAAGGTCATAGGGGCACTACACATGTACTATAGCCTTGGTGTGTCTAGGGAAAGATAACCTGGAGTTCATTCCTCTTCAGGCTGGTTTTTGAATTCATAGTTTCCTTCTCCTGGACTGGTTGTCACCTCAAGGCAAGAGATTCCAGTCTGCCTTGGTATTTAGCCATAGCTAGAGAAATGTGAATTCATGCCTTTTTTAAGTCATTTGCATATAGTAAGCAAAACAGAATCAACCAGAATTCAAACTCAACTGATTTTGTTTTCCGTGTTGATAACTATTACACTATCCTTCCCTTCTGTCACATTTTAACCAGTCCGTTTTCCAACCATCTTCAGTTTTACAATCCTAAAAGAGAAAGAGAGAGTTGTGGAGAGCAGGGTCTCTTCTCTACTGGAATAGGTAATGAACAGAAAAAAAAGAAGATAATTATATATATTGATTTCTCTCATTCCTATTAATGTGAGTCATACAGATAATTCAACACTTATAATTGAACTGCACTTATTTTGCACAGTGTAAAGAAAAACAGATGGACATTTAAGCTCATAATGAAGATTTATTTAATGCAATTTTACTACAGCTCATAAGTGAGGTTCAACCATTTCATAGTTGAGTAATTTGAAAGGGAGACAACTATGCTAATGTTTGCCTTCACCACACACAGCAAATATTTTTCAATATTACTTCTCCCTTGTCACTGTACATAATTCAGTAGGGAATATTAACATTAACTAAACATTACACAGCAAAAAATTTCAGATCAAAATCCAGGTTAAAACTATGTATTGTATTGTGGATTCATTAATCCGCTCTTGTTCAAAAATTTTAATTTTAAATTAAATTTAAAAAATTGAAATTCCTGTTAATTTCTTTTTATCTTCTTGAATATAAAATAGAATTTATTTAATGGATAATCTATATTTATTATTATTTATTCTATTTGGTTTTATTTTCACTCAGACCGAGCCATTTTGAAAAGATCTGGACATGTGTTATTGACTGCTGATTTGGGAGATGACTATGGATTTACAGATGTCGATGGTAAGTTCCTCAATTTTTGCCCATCAAAAACTAGGAAGACATAATTTTTTTTGTTTATCTCCCCAAAAGTCTTAATTTTAAAATATGGTAGCCTAAAAAGAAAAAAATATTAAGCTGAAGTTTCTTTATCACAGTGACTAGGAACTAAAATTAGTGTAAAAATCTCTTAACCTTTCTCCTGAATGGTCAGTATTGTACATCTGTTTACTTGGGCCCCAAATTGGTCAAGTTGTCAGATTTTTGCAGCATTGTCTAAAGAAAAATCTAAAGCTGTTAAAAGTTTGAAATAAGAAAAAATAGCAATATGGAGCCTAGTATTCGGGGTCTTTTTTGTTAGTCGTCACCAGAAAAAAATTTACATAACCAGTGGGAATTGATGTTAAGTTTATTTTGTTAATCCCTCTAGAGTTAGAGGTTTGGGGTTTTGGTGAGTTAGAAGTCATTGTCAAAATGCAAGATAAATAACACGATCAGAATTAATAAAGTTTTCAATAAAAAGAAAAAAATGTCAAAAAGGATGAAACAGCAACAATCATGAGAGCAAGCGAGCAATATAGTTAAAGCAAATCAAAATTGATAAGAAGGCAAAAGAATTCACAAACTATGAGTTGGTGTTTGTATACAAAAGCAAAGGTCAGACAAATGAACACATTAGGTCTATCTAATAGTTCAGGTAGATCTGGACTGAGGATATTTATTTCCGTAAAAAACAGAAAATGTGGCATAAGGCCTAAAAAGGAGATTAGGAAATGGCGGTCAGCATCTGTCTTAATTTGGTAGATCTGGACTGAGTTATGTAAAAATGTAAGTTGTCCCATTTTATTGGCTAAGAAAAATATCCCAGCATGCATTTTGTGTCCTTCTGATTATAAGTGTAGGAGGGGGTACTTTAGCAATCATTCCAATACCCACTTGGGAAATCAACAGGCTTTGTTAAGGTCAACTCTGAATTCCAAAGATAGTGAAGTGGTTTCCTGTTACCTTCTAAGGAGACGGTTGTGGAGCAAAGGTGAAAATAAACAGAAAGACAGTCAAACATCAAATGACAAAAAATGGTTTCTGAGTTGGAGGATCTGCACATCATTCAAGTTAATAATTTAAACCTTTGAGGATAAATATTTAACATTTTTCAACCAACAGGTCACATTCCTGCCAACAATAAAAAAACATGCTTTGTGATCCCTTTGAAGGGTATTTAAGTAAAGTCTCTAGATGAACAAAAGAAGTAAGGAGATAGAGACAGCAAAATAAGATAACTTTTCGTGATATGGCTTCAAAGAGATTCCCTTACTCATTCACCTGTCTTCCTCACCAAGCTACATGACACTTACACTTTCCTCCTCACCTTTTCCCTTGCTTCTTTTTTCTCACGCATTCATGCAACAAAATTACATTTCTTTTTATCCTAACAAAAAACTACAAACAAGGAACTTTAACATTCATACACGCCGAGAAAAATTTAGTTGTAAAAACATAAAAATATTTTATATTTTGAAACCTTTCTTGTCTTTTTATTTGTTGTGAGTTGATTCAAATCTGCAACAAAAAACAGAAAGCCATTTCACTATCTTTCTCAAGAATTTATGGCAATTACAAAGAAAAGAAATCTGTGAAACATCATGACAACCTGAAGGGATATGGAATTTAAAAAACAAAAATATGCCAAGTGTATTTTATACAGTGCAACCCAGATATAAGAGAGTTGTCGGGACCGGAGAAGAAGACTCTTATATCCGGGTTTCTCTTATATCTGGGTTTGGTCTATTTTGTTTAGGTAAGTATGGCTCTAATTTGGGACCAGAGAAAATCTCTCTTATATCCGGGTTTCTCTTATATCCGGGTTACACTGTATATTTGTTATCTTTAATATCATCTATAATAGGGGAGATTAACCTAGTTATCTCCCTTTTCACTGATGATACAAAATGGCAATGTTTTTGTTATGACAATAGCAAACTGTTTAAATTATTAATGCAAAGAAAGATCATGTCTTTGAAATGAAGAAAAGACTAAAAACTAAATTAAGGTGAACAATTATAAAAATGTGTAAACTATAATAATTTGAAAAAATATGTATTCAAAACCTTCTGATGAAAATAAGGATTAAAGAAAATATTTCCATATGTGCTGTCATTTTTGACAACATAGGTAAATTAGTATATAAAATTCTACTGGAAATAAAGTCAGTGTTCAGTTTTCTATTGTTTTTAAGTAATATATTGATCCCCTAGAAAATGCTGTCATTTTTGACAACATGGATAAACTAATACAGGTTCATTATCCTTTATTCAAAAATCTCCAAAATTCAGAAGTTTTTATGGTTCTGACATGATTTGCCACAAATGGAAAATTTCAGAAAGCACTGGGAAGCTCCCTAGGTGAGGGGCAGCTGTTGTAAGTAACCTTATCTGCTCTGGGTAGGGGTTCCCTAGCCCAGCTACATAGCTTAGATTGACACCAGCTTTTTGTTAATGATTGTCAGAGCAACACCTTTGTTTATGGATTACTTACCAGGTGTTTCATGCTCAGTAAAGATATTATTCAAAATGTCAAAAAGTCCTGCATTTATATATATTTGTAAGGAGTGAGCATGTTTTTTGTAGATATACAGAAAGTACAAAACATTATTTTTACGTGAAATCTTAATTTCACCACTCATGTTATTACCTGTATATGTATGGATACAAAATTTATTAAATTTTATAGAAAACTACCTTCTGGGCATATGTATAAGCTGTGTTATGAAATGTAAAGGGATATCATGTTTGTGCTAGGGATCCATTTCCAAGCTGACCCATTTTATAGATGCTATATGCAAATTAAATGACCTGTATTCCAAAATTAAAAAATATGAAAATCAAAGCACTTTCAGTCCCAAGAATTTTGGATAAAGGATTCTCAACCTGTATATAAAATTCTACTGGAAATAAAGTCAGGGTTCAGTTTTATAATGTTTCTAAGTAATATATTGATCCCTCACAGAATGCTGTCATTTTTTACAACATGGGTAAACTAGTATATAAAATTTTACTGGAAATAAAGTCAGGGTTCAGTTTTATAATATTTCTAAGTATAAAATATATAGTATATATCAGTATATTTGGTTTGGGTATGTGTTAGCCTTGAGTAATGATTAAAAGGAAATGAATGTAGTATTGAAAAATACAAAATAGATCTTTATATGTCACAATATAATGACACAGACGGATAAGGTGAAAATTGAAAGTTTCAAGAGTTCAAGTGTAAAAGTCCTGGTGAATAAGAGAGAGAGAGAGAATCCAGGAGGAAGTAATATATATATATATATATATATATATATATATATATATATATATATATATATATGAATACAAGGTTGGTATAGATGGAATAAAATTCCAGTAACCAAAAACACTATTTTTTTAAAAATGTGCTCAGTACAAAGTAGAGCAAGTAATATTTATTTAAAAATTATAACATAAGTATGTTATAATATACTTATGTTATAATTTTTAAGTACATATGTATGTATGTGTGTGTGTGTCCAAATGTAATAACCACCACATGGTGAAGGAAAGTATATTTGTTTTCAATGTAGCAAGGACGGTTTAGTTGTCTATTGTTGCCAGCTAGTTGTGCAAATGTTGTATTTTCATCTCTGTATGTTATGATGACTAATTTGTTGACTGATTTTACTTGATTTTTCATCTGTTTACATAAACATTTATAGATCCCCTTTGAAAAGGTTGCTTGCTTTTCATTGGCTCACGGCCTTATATCCTGTTTATGAAAGCTTACTGATTGGTTGGTTGAATTATCTATTTTTAGAGATAGTGAAATTTTTGTCTTCCTCTTATTTATTTTTTATTTTGTACATTAAATAGCACAAACATATATAAATCACTCATGCACAACAGAGATATACACACTGTTTCATCCCAAGCAAAGCAATAAAGCCACTAAGATGTAAGGGGTTACTGAGTATTACAGAATATAAGAAAAAACACTATTAAGAAGAGAAAATAACAAGAGTTAAGAAGACAGAAGATAAATTAAAAAATTTAAATTTTTGAAGATCAAACTTGACTGGAAAGCAAGAAGACAGAAGAGAGTTTCACAAGCAAGATGTGCAAGAGAAGAAGCTGTTAGCATAGAATTTATGGTTACATCTAGCGGCCATTTCAACTGTAAAATGATGAGACATTGCTGCCAATCTAGTACTGTGCTTAAATTCCTAAAGTCTAGGTACCATAGAGGAAAATTCATCAGAACAATTACCATGAAAGTCTTTATAGAAAATGTACAGAGAAACTACATTATGGCAGTGGGAAAGTGACTGAAACCGAGATACCAGGTCAGGACCAATAATACTACAGATTCTTCTTTTGATTTTATCAAGAATTTCTAAATATATAGCAGGTGTACTGGACCATATGTGGCAGCAATATTTAAAGCATGGATGATTAGTAGACATATAAATATATATGAAAGATTCTGGTGAGAAAAATTGTCTAGCTTGACATAATGAGCAAACTTTCCTAGCAGTAGACCTAGCAATTGATTTCCACTTCATGTTAAGGGAAAAGCTGATGGAAGTTAAAAAGGGTTCACTCAGATGATTAAAAGAGAGAAGTTTCATTTTGAAGGCGTTTTAAAATTAACAATATACTATACTGTGAGTTCAGTCTACCCTGATTTTAGGTGGAAAATAAAATCCAAATGTCATGTCCACAAATATAAATTATAAACAATGTGAAGAAATGATCTTCACAGAAAAGGAAGAAATCCAAGCTAAATATGATGATAACATTTATACAATCAGATACATGTATTTATATATTAAAAAAAAATCAGTGTTTTTTGTGTGTGGCTATGAAGAGACTGCTAGTTTGATTGTTTGAAATGATTCATCGCAAGAGAACCTGCAAAGTTTCAAAGTGTTTTTGTTTCAAGTGAGGAGATCAAGTGGTATGGTATGCCTGTGTGTGTGTGTGTGTGTGTGTGAAGCATACACTAATGAAAGTATGTGACTGCTGACTGATTGTGTACAATAGCAGTAATTTTA